GATCCAAAAGATTGAAAATGCAAGTTTTTCGCGAACTAAGCTCTTAAGACGAGCTAAAAAGTGCTTTCATTAATCACTTAAATTTGAATCGATTTTCTCTTTGAACTTTAATGTGAAACTCGAGTTTATATATATACTTCGGCAAAAAAGGGAGGCAACATTTATCTCTTTAGTTCTCAATTACAGAAATTTTTTAATCTATCTTTCTGCAGTTCAATTAACTACATCGACTGGCTAACATCTCAGCGATGAAAAAATTAAAATTCACAACTGAGCTGAGAGATAGTGTTGAAGTTTTGGCACGTCCTAAAATTTCCACCGCTAAAAACTGGAGGAATCGACACGTTTTGTACCAAGGTAGAAAATCGACGAAACCCCAGGTGTGAAATATTAACGACTCATGTCACAAGTATATATAATGGCTCCCGTCGAAATGCTTTCTCCGAGGAAAAATCGGCTTTGCGAACGTGTCGGAAAATCTGTCATTAAAGTCAAGACCGAAGGTTTTGACAGTCCTGCTCGGCTCTTATACGAGAAAGCGGGTGACGAAGCGACGAGCCTCCCCCGGGCGCGGCGAAATATCGTGGTGAGGGACGCGAGAGAGTACGCTGAATGCGCGTTAGACTATTCCGATATTCGCAGGTACCTCGGAGGACTTGAGCTTATCACTTATAAGTCCGTACGTGTGTCGCCTCTTCGCGCGGATTTGCGCGGCGTGCATGCATGCACGTATGCAGGAGCGCACGAAACGAAAGCTTGCGTGACAGCGACACATCTCCGCTGTTAAAAGTTGCATGCGGAAGCGGACAATATTGGCAGGAAGGTGGTACGGTATGGACGTGGATAGAAGCAAATAAGATTTACGTCGCGTTCTATCCATCATCGCCTACAGTTTTCTCATTGCATTCTCTCTCTCTCTCTCTCTTTTGCTCGCGCGCGTTCGTTCCTTCTCTCTTTTTTCTTGTTTTCTCTATCTGTCTCGGCGTTTTCATATCAAATATTAACGAGATCGAGTGCGTCGAGCAAATCGTCCTTAATCCGAAACTCAAATTAACCACAAGAATCGAATTTCCATCTTCCGACGAATCTCCATCCAAGTAGATGTTAGTAGCGTTACGGAATAATATAGGGCGTCGTATGTTTTGATCGAAGGAGAAAAGTATTCAAACGGTTCATGTATGTCTCGTCGTAAAAATACAAGGAAAATACAAAAGAGAATAGTTTGATGACTGTTATTTAATTTGTTTCTTTTTCAGCTGTGTTAACTGCCTCTGAAAATCATCGGACACACACAGAGAACTTGTTGGAGCAAATTGACCATTAAAATCTGAGGCAGCCTGTACACCGGGAAAAATTTCCTTCATCTCGGCGCTGCCGCGCGAAATGAAATAATATCTAAACGTCTCTAGAGCGAAAACGACGTCAGTTGCACTGACGAGCACGAACGAATTACCAAGGGGGATCGCTACGTTTACGAGCATTAAGGATCTTTCGCGGAAGAATTAGCGCCGTCGCGATGCGATGATATTGTAGCGCGCAGAATTCTCGATTTACGATAAAATCTTCGCGCGTAATATTGCGCGCTTAATAACGGTCTTTGCGCGGAAAAGAAGCAAAAGACGAATTAAGGGAGAACGACAGGAATTCGTTATGTATGAATTTTCTTTGCCGCGATATCCGGATTAGTTTAAGCGTTATTGAGTCCTTTCTCCTACTCCCTTCTATCAATTTTAATTCTTCCCGCGAGATAATACAGCTTCAGTGAGAGAATTAAGATATGTTACGGTGAATTCCTTTTTGGTTCATAGTGCACACTTAATTATAACATCATACTTAGCGTTATACGGAGGAAAATTAGATCACATTTATCCAATTGCTCGGACGGAGTACAAATCGCGGTTAATTTGTCGGAAATAGAACGAGAATAAAGAGAAATTCCCGAAATATTTTTGAACAAATTGGTCATTTCAAATATAGAGGATGAAGGGAAAATTTAAATGAGGGAATATTTCGGAGAAAATCACGCATTCGATTTCTCTCCTCTCTTTCTCTGAAAAACGCATGATATTTCTTTTCCTCTCGCTTCCCTTCGAAACAGCATCTATACGTGCCAATCGCAATCGGCGTTAATCTGCGATGTGAGCGGTGTGCGTAAAATACAGTTTCGCCACAATACACTCATACCGCAGCCTTGCGATCGAAGGATGGAAAACCAGACCGAGCTCACTGACAAGCCATTTATAAAAATATTTTCAACTAATGCCCGCCTTCGAAAGTTAGGCGTTCGATCTCGCAGAATCGAATTCCCTTAAAATACATTTCAATCCATCTACATTTTCACGGCGATTACATTCTCATACGCGGACCGGCGCAGTCCTGCGGTGATAAAATGAGCCGGAATTGAGCCTCAAAATTGATGGATGTGTTTGTGAGAACTATCTTTTTTCATCTTCCATCTTTCCCAAATATTTCGTCGGAACGTTTTGGGGATATTGAAAAGTTTTGTCTTTTTTTTTTTTTTTCGAATGAATATAAATGTCGAGTACATTACCGCGATCTAATTTTCGGACCGTTCATCATCGCGCGGTAATTCATCTGTCTAATTTATGTTAAGCTAATGTTGCCGAGCGACAATAATTAGTGTCAATCATTAGCGTTGACGAGGGAAATTCCTGAAATTCAGGTGCGATCCCTCGACTCCACGTTTTTAGGCATACAACTAGACCCAGTTTCCAAGCGGCTATTATTCATTCGATCGCCGAGTCTATCAAAATTCCATCATAACCGACGCCTCCGAAAGTTCCTCCAAGATTTTACGAGGACACGACCTCCGTTCGAGCCAAAATTCCATAAATTAGTGGAGAAAAGTTAGGGGAATATCCTAAAAGTGTTGTTATCCAGTGACTCGATCAACCAACTCGATCGGGAGTCCCGACGAAATCGAAATCCCGAGGAGATTCTTTTTCTGCAGCGGGAGCTTTAGTCGGGAAGCGCATCATAAAATTTTCACCCAAGTCGAATATAGGACAACACTTTTAAGACCCTGCGCGATGGAAGAAGTATTTTCATCAATCTCAAAAGCTGTGGAAGCCTACTTTCGAATTATAACTCGAACTTTTTGACGCGGGAGTGTATGCAGGCAAATTAAGTTGCAATACGACTCGCGCACGATGTAATCGAATACGACACGTCAACGCGAAAATAATTCAAGATCGCATCCCCCCGTTGACACAATCTCGATACGTCACGAACGTATTGAAATTAGGATGTTTCCAGTTCCGACACGACGGAACTAATTCTCCTATCCTTTCTTCACATAAATATCCTTCCGAGAGTTTCACGACACCTACGCTTCAGAACTAATATTCGATATTCTGTCCGACTCGACGAAATAATCGAATAGTCGTCACGATTGAAGCGATGAGGTCGGTAAGTCACGAGACGAATGACGCGGATTTTTCCATGCGAAGTCCAGCTTCCTCGTTCGACGAGTCAGCCGACGATAAGTTATCGTCACGGCAAGACGGGCGGGAGAGGTCACCGACTCGCAACGGAAAGATGCCGTTGACGGAAACGTCAATTAATTACACAAAGCTGCCGGAGCGGAATGTATCTGCGAATTCAGCTCGCAACGACCTGGCAGATGCAGCCGCAACGCGCGCACATTAGAGCGTGTAACGGGATGAAAGCCCGCGCGAGGCCAACGCACGTCTGGCACATCGGTCGATGTTCAAGAGTTACCGCCTCTATCTCCCCCCCCCCTCTCTCTGACGCGTAAAATTTATGGCACGTAATATCATTACGTCGAATCGCCCGCGATTCCATTCGCGCCGCGGGATTCGCGCGCGCGCGCGCGTTACATACGACCGCTCGAAGAAAAAGCGCAATATCCGTCCGCTCGGAATTCGCGTGCTAAAATAAAATTATCCGGCGGCGGCGGCGTACTCTCACGCATTATATACTAGTCCGCGCATAATATATCGGGTATCCCGCCGTGTAATGTAGGTATCGGATAACTGTCAGACAGATATAGCGAAAGTTTCGTCTCCCCGCGCTTAAGACGCGCTTAAGCGATTTCGCGTTTCTCGGAGGATAACGCAGATGTTAGTTTTGCGTTCGCGGTGCGGAGCAGAGCGTAGCGCGGCTGATGCGCGGCGAACGCGCGCCGCATTTCGCATTAATGTATTCCTTGTGCATCCCCCTGCCGCTTTCCTCTCCCCCTCTTCAACCCCTACAGCCACGTGGATTTAACGCGGATTCGTAATAATTTATCTTCCGTTTAGGACATTTAAAGTAAAGTTTAAGTTCTTCTCGGAGACGAGAGACGCGGGCGGGCTGGGAGAAACGTGCGATTGTTTCGCTCGACGATAATGCGCCGCGTAAATAGACAGTGCCAAGGACAATTTAACCCCGCTGCCGAGACAACGGAAATTGCGAGGGGATCAAAGCAACGTCTGATTGCCAATTAGACGATTCAACCAACTTCCGTTTCGTCCCGGCGCGGCGCCGCTCGGAAAATCGCGGACGCGATGGGCGACAGTTGCACAACAGCGTCGTGAGTTTGATAAGAAACAAATAAGCGAGCTTATCTCTCTCTCTCTGCTCGGCTGTGCTACATACAACCGAGACGACGATGTGCGTTTGCAATTTTACGCGCGGTACGTAGAGCGTGAAACGGCCGCATTTTCGGTCGACTTGTGCGTGTACAATTTGGTAAAAAGTTCGATCAATTTCTGGAATATGAAGTTCCGAATTAACTGTCGCAGACACTCTGTGTACCGTGCGTGATGTATAATTTCTATCAGCGTTGTGATCCCCGCATGAAGGCTTCACCGCATGATTCTCATCGTATTTCGAATTTATGGCATTGAATGGGAGCTTGATGCTTTTGAAAAGGGCCGAGGGAGAAATTGTCCGCCGCACCACTCTTCGAACCTGACACTTTTAGCAATAAAAGAGAAAAATTGGTCATTTCTGTGTCTCGTTGGACCTGTTTAACGTAGAATGCGCGCCAAGACGGTTCTTTTTTTTTGTTTTGTTTTTTACGAGAGAAAATTCATCAGCGTCGGGGGAAGGGGGGAGTTGAATTCTTCCGCAGGAATCCGATGTCGCCGCGCACAGCGGCGTAAATTGGACGCTGCGTTTAAAGAAAGTAACGAATTAGGAGCACAGAAAGGCCCGGTGTTAAAATAAATGGCAATTCCAACACTCGGACGACGATCGAACGGAGGTGGGAAAGAAGAAAAAGTGGAAGTCGGAAACTCACTGGTTTCATATCTCGGCGAAATAGAGTGGAAGTTGAAAAATTTCTTTGTCGTGGAAACCAACACACCTACGGAGACCAACAAACCTCCGAGTCCATCATTTCTCCGCGTCTGGGGCGGTGAAAAATGCATAGACATCAAAACGTTGAACACCGGAGAATGTAAAGAGGTTCTTTATCTTTCCTGAAAAATTTTGGCGCTCGGATTAAGGAGGCGGTTCTCGCGATTCAATCCGAGCGAAGAGAGAAGGCGAAATTAAATCCCTCGTAACTGTGACAAGTAAATACGCTCAATTCCACTATTTCTCTGCGAAATATCGCGATTTTGATATGTTTACGGTAAAACATCGATACGAATAGCCACAATCATTGGCCCTTGGTCATAATATGGTTTTGCGGTGAACAGTACGAAATTTGGCCGAAACTGTTATACGATCGACGCCGGGCTCGCCCAAGCGTAATTGCAGAGTGGAAGTCGACTGTACCGGCGAATGTCAAAAACGACATCCCGTCACTCCCATGACGACAAGAAGTCGTAGGAATTTCACGGTTTATAGAAACGGTTTATTTATCACATCTTGAACCGCTCCGCTCGGTATCTCAAGACGCTCAAGAAACCTGAATCGATAAACACGACTTCCGCGGGCGTGAAATTTTAAATACTCCCTTTGACGGGGAAAAAGATTTTCGACACTCGACCGGTCCTTGACTTCCACCCTTCGATCCGCGAGGTGTAAAGGACACGAAGAAGAGGAGACCTTTAAAGGAGCCCGATCCCGGGAAAATTCTATTTTTTTTTTTTTATTTATATTTCCATCGGCGTTCTTGTCTATCGAAATTTTCCGCGTGCCTTTGAGATTTTCCGGTTCACGATTGCGTCTATTCTCCTCGGTCGATCGCAGAGATAACGCGAAATGTTGCGAGCGTATTTTCCGCCGACGGCGGGATCAGTGGGATGTGGCCGGCAACAAAGCGCAACCCGCTGATGAGAGAGGCACGTCCTTCGGTCGGCGAGTCTCCAAGCTTGAGCGATTATACGTGGACGCTGTGTGTGAACGCTAACGACAGGACTCATTTCGCTTTACGCCCGTCGCGTTTACCGAAGTAATAAAGACCGCGAAGACTGCGAGAGAGGCAATCACCACTTACGTGTTCGTGGTGGTTCCGCGAGAATGGATGTCGGAGGTACCGGGAGCCTCACTCGTGACTGGTCATAACGTAGAGCACACGTACGTACATACACACTATACACCTACATGCACTGCCCCCCTCTCTCTCTTCTCCTCTTTCCCGTCCGCGAGGAAACTTATGATCGCGGCGTATAAATCACTGCGCTTTCCGCTGGCACGATTTTATATCGTTCTCTTCACCCCGGATAGAGTCCTCAACGTTCCTCTTCCTTCTCGATTCGGATCATTCTTCGCCGTCGGCGAACAGAGAATGAGAGAGAGCGATTCGTCTCTCTGCTCTCCTCCTCCGCTGCCGATGGCAACGCGGAAGAAGAAGTCCTTTTCACGGAACCGCACCGAATCTCTTACAGGTCCGCGCGAATAAACGGAACTACTGAAATATCTATCACCGTTCGCGTTCGATGGAACAGAGCGGTGCAAATCGCGCGCGTCGCGAGGCGCTCTCGGGTCAGGTCGCGCGCGACTCTCCCTTCACAGCGAGAACTCTCTCTCTCTCTCTCTCTCTCTCTCTTCACCTTCCTTCGCGAGGTCGACGATCAGCGAACCGTGTGTGCGGCTCGCAACCCGGCACGAGTCGAACTCGCTACCTCCTCGGGACGGTATTCCGGTGGTGGGTTGACGACGCCGCCGCCACCTCCACCGCCGCCGCCACCGCCGCCGCCGCCGCCACCGCCACCACCGGCGCTGCTGCCTGCCTGCCTGCCGAGGGTCGCGAGGGTGGCTCCGGCTTCGCGACTGCGCCCTCTCGGCTCTATTCAACCCATTACGTGCCTCGCACACGCGTGACCGTGAGACAACACGCGTCGCTCTTTACGCGTACACCAGGCCCCACGTATGTACATGTTGCATATGTGTGAGAGAAGGCAGGCTCTTTGTCCTCCTATCTCTCTCGCTCGCACTCTCTCTTTGCGTACACCCCTGGGTCCCTACCTATCTACCCCGGACCGCGTCTCTCGCCACCGCAACACGTAGCCTCGCATAGTGGCTTTCTACCTCTCTTCATCCCCCTCTTGCCTTTCGCCCCGCCTCGACCATGCTATATCTCGCAATACATCATCGTATCACTTTATGTCTCGCGTAACGTTTTATTAACCAGAAATCAAGTGCACCTCCTTCGATCCTCAGTCTTCCCCGGAAGGTTCCCTCGGCTTCTCTCTACGTTTCTCCAGCTCTCTCTCTTCTTTCCTGCCGCCCGAGTCGTCGCCCCGGTTTCTGTTTATTCGCGCTGTCGTGCAGCGGGCGTGCTATTTCTTTGGCACTCAACGTCCAGCTAATGTCGATCCGCGGTTCCACATGTGGCGGATGTCATTGTTGCTTAGAACGTTTTTATTAACTGCCATGTTCGCTCCGCTCTGATGTTCTCGATCCGCGAAGGGTAGAATGTGTGTCTCTCTACGTCGTCCCTTCATCCATTCTTTTCTCGTTTGTTCCACACTTTCGCAATAGCATTTTTCTTTGAATTTATATCGACATACACACACATATCGATTCGCGCCCGCGCGAGCATAGTAATGGGCCGCACAATTTTCTTCGTACCGGATATGAAATACTCTTTCTTCCCGATTTCGCCCTAGATCCCAGAAACGTATCCATAATGCGTCATTTGAATATTTTCACTATTTATTAAAGACTTCGGGAAGGATGTGAGGGCCTGGTTGAAAGAATCAGTAATATAATCCCTGGCAAGAAAGATTAATCTTGAAATATAATCCCTCTTTTTAGTTCTTGAGGATAATATCAGTGCTTTGTAGAAAAAAAAAAAAAAAGAAAAACACGACTCAACATGCATTCCGTTCATTAACAAAAAATGTGAAATATGTTCTCTTTTAAGTATTATATGCTTTGATTTATGCGGGATGTATCAAAGTCGCGCACTGTATCACGCCCCACCTTATTCCTTCCTTTTAGGTGCGATAAATTTTGTTAAGCCTTCGCTACCGTGGAGTCTGTATGAGAACTCATTTAATAAAATTTATTAAAATTAAGAGGTTTTCAAGGAAATGATTTTAATCTCTCGCGTTACATTTTACGCGTATAAAATCTTATTTATTATAATTCACTGTTAATTAAAGCATCTTTCTCTCTCTACGCTCCGAAAAACCTCGCGCCACCTGCTGAAGATTGAAGTGAATTTTACCTTGACAAAATTTTAATTCCAAGCAAACTCACCGGGATATTTACCGCTGAGAATTAAAAAGTCACGAGCGACGATGGCTTCCGACCAAATTTTCGATGAGAAACTTTTCCTTTAAGAAATTTGTAATGAAGACGAAGTCTGTCGTTTTTGGTACGTCTTATGTAAGAACCAGCAAACAATTACTTGTACGACAACACTAGAAGCAACTTGCAAGCTCCCTTGCGATAGCGTATTCCGATTGTTCCGAGGAGGAGCATTACCTTATACGTTTCAGAAACGAAATTTAACGAGATTTAAACTTTTACGAGCACCTCATTAATGATTGCATTTTGCCATGGAAATTCTACGTTTCATATTCTCTTTTAAATGCACGTTTATACATTATGCGTAGTGTTCTTTAGTTAAAGTCTTTAGTAGTTTATTATTAATCTAATTCGGTAATCTATATAAATTACTATACTCCTCCTAGAAATTCTCTATAGATTTATAATCGTTTTTTAATCATTAGAATATTGATTAACCAGTTCGGTTTTAATAAATAGACGTTACCCCTATTTTATAAATTTTATAAAAGAATAGTTTTATTTTCAAATGAAAGAACTTCGATAAGACTTCTCTTGAGCGGAAAATTATTTATTAATCCTCGATGTCTACACTTTATTCTCCAAGTTGAAGAAAATTCGCTTGCACGGAAGGTTAGACAAATTTATTGGAATTTTTATTATAATGAAAATTTACTACTCGGACAACGAGACAAATTATCCCGAGGAGAATGATGAAGGTATTCGACTTTCTATAATTCCGTCAAATACTCGTCGGCACGGGATATCGGCGGAGAGACTATAGGAGAATTAATGCCGCATATGTTCGAAACAGAGCCGCCTAACTGGCGGCGGGTGCGTGGCGACGACCGAATCCGTGGCTGGTCGCGGGTATATGCGTGAGCGCGAGTGGAGGTCCGCGGAGGGTGCCGGTCGGATGATATAGTGGATACCGGTCGGTGGTGGTGGCGGCGGTATGGTAGTTACAGATAAGGAACAGGTCGCATCGTAGAGCTTCCAAGGGGTGGTACTAATTTAGTAAACGGAGAGAGAGTGTAGCCGGCAATACCCACTTCCGGCTTTCGTGTCTGCAAAGACGGAAGTAACGCGCCGCGCGGAATATACCCAGAGATGCTTAAATTTAATATGCTGCCGCTATCCTGCGTAAAGCAGCCCTCACGCAATTGATATTACGAGCCGTAATTCCCCCCGACACGCGTCACAACATCGCGAGGAAAGAAATGTTGATGAATTGATAAAAATTTATACTGCGTAATTATTCGAGCAGGTAATGGGAAAAATTATACAAAATTGATCGGAATTCAAATATTACCTCGATGCGCTGTGAGAAATTAATATTAGTGTTTCTAATTATAATGTGATGAAAAGGTCATTATTATTTATTTTATATCATACTTATATATTATATTATATTATCATATTTTTTTATTTCATCCACTTTCTAAACTATTTTCTCTCTTTATCGGTTTTTCCAGATATCGATATTAGAGAAATATTAATTATTGATGCTGCAGAATGGGATCGTATAAAGCATATATATTTAGGTTTTCTTTTAATATTTATATAATTTTCCAGCTTATTAGATTCAGTGACATTTTCATATATTTAGTATCGTAACATTGCTGCTAAATATCGCTCACTATTTTCATAACGAACGTTATGATTTTGCAATATCAATTTTAGAGAGATATCCAAAACAGGGAGTTAAATCAACGTAAACAATTTAGCACATATAGAATACTTCAAAATCGTTGCCTAAAACATACCGATATATATCTCGTTTTTCAAACACACACACACACAATATTTTTTAATCGGTACTGCTATAAAATGATCAGTAATATCAAATTTAAAAGATTTAATAGATATTTCATATCTAAAATGAACGTATATAAATGTTAAGAAAATGAGTTGGAGTCATATTAACAAATCAAATAAATAAAAATGAACGTAGAGTAAAATTATTTATTGTAAGGGACGGAAGAGAGATTATATATCAAAATAAAATAGGACACCGAGACATTTTTACTACCCCCTTTAATGTCGTATATCTCCGATACCGAGATATTGCTCGACACCAAAGGTATCAATGTTGTTCGATACTTTCTTCGAGATCATTGATGTCCCTCGATATTTCCTGCCGACGTTAACCGATATTTTTCCCCAAAAACGCCGATACTACCTTGCAATCTCGAAATATCGTAAATATCCTAGTAACACGCGTGCGCGCGGATAACGTAGGTAAGCGTAGAGAGTCAGCCGACGTATTTTATCCCACACATTCGCATATATGCCCGCGCGCATTGGGGCAGGATCGGAAAAAAAGCCGGCCGAAACTCAGATTCGGCTCTGACGAGGTTCAATTTTCGATTTTCCGGCTCTTTTTCACCCGCCAAATGGATAAATGATGCCGAAACTAATCATTTTCGCGTGCTTTCTGAAAAAGGAGGTCACCCCCGAAATACGTAAAAACCGTTCGTCCGAAACTATTAGCAGTTGATTTTCACCGATCTGAAAATTCATCCTCCATCAGCAACGTCGGAGATATCGCAAATAAATATCTCTGCGCATTCCGAACGAGCTCTCACAAGCTGCGACTGCGACTTCTATCCGTCCGTCGGAATTGCAAATCGCGCATCATCTGACTCCGCTATTTGCCGACGCGAGGGATATCTCTCATTTATGCACAAAACGCAGGCAATGACCTGATTAGATTTGTCAGCCATACAGGCATGATTTTGTTCGTTAAATCCCGGGATACTGTATTCGAAATCAGCATTATCGATTGCATCGCAATCGCCTTGACGATTCCGCGACGGTACTAACGAAAACGTTCACATTATTACGGATCCCCGGGTGCAGCCGAAATAGCGCGCACACAAAAACAACGATCGATACTGTATCGCCGGAGCGGCATTTGCCGATATACGAGCCTCATGGTGGAATTCGAAAGTTCATTTTTCTGCGGTTCGTTGAAATTTGTTGGATTCTGTCCGCGCGGCGCCGCGAATTGGGTGACTATGACGGAACGCGGCGGATTTAGCCCTTCTGTTTTCTCCCTCGCTGTCAAAACGGGGGAATACCAGATGAGTAAAGTAGGATACTATGCCGAATGGTTACATAGATAAGGCGAGGAGTCTCTCGGAGTCGACGCAAAGTTTGATCCTCCTCCGTCGCGTTACTTTGGCCTCTTTCCCTTCGGATTTGCACGCGCGAGTCACATCTGCGCGTCGTGAAGGAAAGAAAGAGAGAGTGGATTCAACCGGGATCAACGGAATTCACCCCCGCGTT